TAAAAATATATTTTTAAAAAAAGGTTCTTCAGAAGAATTCAGAAGAAATATTATGTATTCTTTTTTTACAATTACTGGGAATTAAATTGGAATAATTGTATGCTTTTCCAGGAGGAACAATCCAATGTGAACCTTTCCAAGTTCCGCAAGATTCAGCATGAGCTGGAAGAAGCTGAGGAACGGGCTGACATTGCTGAGTCCCAGGTGAACAAACTCAGGGTGAAGAGCCGAGAAGTGCATAAGAAGGTGGTTGTAAGTGAAGAATAAACTCACCTGGAAATGGCGAAGTGACCGAAGAGAAGCGCAAAATGTGATGCTCTTTGTCACTTCCTGTAATTACTGTTTATCTTTCCTTAATATATAGAAAATAAAGATAATAGAGAACTTTGCATACTAAAAACTGTTGTGACTTTTCTTTCATTCTACTTAATGCTAGAAACTGCAGATGATTTATGCAATTCTAATTTTCTGCCTGTAGGATGTAGGGGTGAAATTCAGCAGGTTCTGACAGGTTCTGGAGAACTGGTAGCGGAAATTTTGAGTAATTCAGAGAACCGGCAAATACCGCCTCTGGCTGGCCCCAGAGTGGGATGGGAATGGAGATTTTGCAATAATCTTCCCTTGGAGTGGGGAGGGACTAGAGATTTTGCAGTATCCTTCCCCTGCCATGCCCATCACGTCATGCCCACAGAACTAGTAGTAAAAAAAAATGAATTTCACCACTCTGTAGGATGTGTATATTTAACTGAGTTTTATTAATATCTAATTATTATTTCTATATAGAAATATATTATCTATATAATGCCCATAATGTAATTTCCATAAGGATTATAATAATTTCCATAAAATTGAATTTCCCTTGGTAATAGAATTATCTTGGCAGTAGAATTAAATGTGTTGCAGAATATAGTACCTGATCTCTGAAAAGCTATGTAGAATTGGAGCTTATTTGTAGCAGATTACCAAAAAGGTAGACTAGGAAGTAAAAAAAAAAAAAAAGGGAAAACTATAGAAGTAGCAGTGACAAATTACTGCTACCTTGTTATCAAGAAAACTACATGGAAGTATTGATGTAGTAATCAAAAACTGAATTTGATTTAGGCTATTAACTTTCAATTTTGCAATATATGTTTCACAGATTTTAATGGAAAGACAGTTTGTATTTTTTTTTTAATGAAATGGGTAAAGTTTACATCGGCATAAACAGAACATATTTTTATTTTTATACTAAATCCAATGAAAATACATTAAGAAGTAAGGATGCTTCAATATAAGACTTTCATTACTTAGCCATATTTCTTAGAATTGTATAAAGTATCCAAGTAATCCAAGTTTTCCTTTTTCCTTTTGTTTTTTCACTGTAGAAAACATAATATATTCCTTCTTTATAGTTATACAGTGCACAGCCATCATATATCCCTAACCAAATAGTTTTCAGTACTATCCTGGTATATAGAGACTGATTAGTAATTAAAATGAAAATAACATGGAATAACAATACATTTCATATTCAATAGGGGGAACATTATAAATGAACAAACTAAGCTTTATTATACAAATAGTATTGCTCTTTTTCCAAAGTGATGATTAGATCTTGGAGAACCGAAATTTGAATAGTGATTTAATAGATATCAAAAAAGAAATTACAAAACTATATATCGTTTTAATAAGAAAATACATTTTAGCAGTTGGGAAAACAATTTGTATATTGGATTGTACTACTAAAATATTCAACTCACACATAAGAGGGGAGAAAAATACATAATTGTGAACTCACATATGGAATCAGTTGGGGAAGGGCTATTTTTGGTGTCAGTCATACACCATCTGTAATTCTGTAAGTCAGAGGCTGGTAACTTTAAAACTTGTGGACTTCAACTCCCAGAATTCTTCAGCCAGACATGCTGGCTAGGGAATTCTGGGAGTTGAAGTCCACAAGTCTCAAAATTGCTAAGTTTGGAGTTCCCGGCTGTAAGTGATATTACTTTAGCCTGAATTGTTTTTTGTTTTTGTTTTGGCATTGTTATCTAGTACTTAATCTGTAAAAAAAGCCCCTACATTACAATAAAAATTGGCTAAGCACAAATGAAACTGACATTAACTGCAAGTAGGACAGAAAAATGTGCAGTTAGTTGCACATTTCTTCTTCTTCTTCTTCTTCTTCTTCTTCTTCTTCTNTGTATGTATGAATATGCTGGTCTTGTTGTATTCAGGTCTTTTCCCATGTAAGATTGAGATTGTCTTGGCAATGTTTTGGCGAGGTCTCACTTGCCATCCTCAAGCTGGGTCTTGGATATAAAGTCTGGTCAGAGCTGCTGACATCTTTCTATAAATCTTGGTGTGTGTTTGTGTGTGTTTGTGTAGTGCTGGCTTTGTTTCAGTAAGTGGAATGATTGGTTGTGCGATTGTATCATGATTGATAGATTGGTGTTGATTGGTGCTGGTTGTGTGTCCATTGTTGTTTTGTGTTGTCATATATATATGTTCTAGCAGTTCTAGCAGTCATTTATTTTCATTCCATTCCTGGATTGGATAGATAATTTCAGTTCTTCAATATCAATCATTTAGTCTCTCTCTCTCTGTATAGATACTTGTGGCTTCTGCCTTTTTTGAAAAACCATTGACCACATTATTTTTAAACAGAACACTAGCCTGATCAACACCAAGAAGAAGCTGGAAACAGACATTGCCCAGATGCAGAGTGAAATGGAGGAGACTATTCAGGAGGCACGAAATGCTGAAGAAAAGGCCAAGAAAGCCATCACTGATGTTAGTAAAATGAGTTTTTGATGAAAAAAAAATCAATTTACACCAGGCATTCTTTACTCTCATCTGTTTGGTTCATTTATTATTAGGCAGCCATGATGGCTGAAGAACTGAAGAAGGAACAAGACACCAGCGCCCATCTTGAAAGGATGAAGAAGAATCTGGACCAGACTGTGAAGGATCTGCAACACCGTCTTGATGAGGCAGAGCAACTAGCCCTGAAAGGAGGGAAAAAACAGATCCAGAAATTGGAGGCTAGGGTATGTATTATTCATATATGAGCAATTGCATGTACTATGAACTTTTGATCTGCTTTCTCTTTGTGTAACATTACCTGGAAATTCAGAGAAATGTCAAAGAGCAAAAATATGGTCTGCACATGGTCTGCCCAAAATAAAGTTGCCCTACATATCCCAAGGTGTGCTCCCCACATTTTTTTTCATCACGCTTATTCCCCCTCCCCCACTTTTTAACCCTTTTCACTGACTCCTAAAATATTTCTTAATTTCCATTAAAATTTTACCACCTTTTTTCCTCCTTTGAATTATTATTTATTTTCCTTAACTACATTGTTTGCCACAGTCTTTTTTATCTCTGTACACATTATAGAATAACTTTATTTTATCCTATTTTTTCCTCTTTCTGCAGATTTTTCATCTGCAACCTTTCTCATGACATAATTCCAGCCATCCTTTGACATACTTCCTCTTGGTGTCATTCCAAAAACCTCTGTGTCATTCGTGTCTCTCGTATTTTGAGATTTAATCAGCTTGCAGGATTTTTCAGGAATTATTGCAAGAAGTTCTGTGATCACCTTCATTTATTCTTTCATTACCATAGAAAGTCATTTATCTGCCCTAGAGATCTGAATTCATTCTAATCAACTTGTTTCTCTTTATGTTCTTCTTGTCTGGTTTAAGGAGGTCTGGTTTACTGTTCCCCTTTTCCTCCAGTGGCATAATGGTGATAATCCATTTCCCTTTTTCTCACAACAGATCTATCACTCTGGGTTTCCTTTTGGCTTCTAATGTACACAAATAACTTTTTAATGTGCTTTTTAAAATATTTCTTGCTAGCCAGTCTTCACTCCTGCTGAGTTTCAGCCTTTCTGCCACAGTTTCTTAGGCTATTTATGTTCTTTGGGGATTTAGCATTCTTCCATTTTCCTGTACATATCCCTTTTCTTTCTGGGTGTTTTCTGAGTTGGGCTGCTTAATTATAGACATTTCATTACCGAACAAGGTAACATCATCAGTATGAGCAAATGTGAGGTTTCTGTATTTTCACTATGTTATAATTCTTTGTATGTTGTCTATGCTGGATCCATGCTATTTTTTCCCCTTTTTATGTAGATTATTGTGATTGTGCTTTCTGGATACTTTTCTCATTCAGGATTTCCTGAGTCCAAATTGTTTTCCTTTGGAAATAAATCCTAATTCCTGAATTTATGTAGAAATACATGTTTCTTTACACGCAGTGCAATGCTTCCACCCTTTCTGTTGAGTTTGTTCCTTTGAAATACCTGTAGTGTTTCAGTGCTATGTCCTAATTAGCATTACTTTCCTATTGTAGTAAGTAAGTAAGTCCTATCTCCCTGTTTATTTTCAATACTCTGTCTGTTGGAATAGAAACCTCTGACATTTGACATGACACCCTCTAGCTTTCTGGTGGTATTTCTTGGACACTCTGTATCTCTACTTTCTTGGCTCAGTTCTTGGCTGTCTTTTTGTGTCTGGGCATTTGCCACCCCCTTCATTTTATTACAGTTTAACACACTACTGATAAGATGGAGAATGCAAACATTTTTCCCCATATTTTGTAAGATATAATCTTATATAATCTATTCCTACAAAATGAGATCTATTCGTATAACAGTATCTTCCCAGGAATTGACCATTGTCACATAGTCCAAAGCCTTCTTAATAACACCATGGATGTAGATTGTGTTTGATTTCCAAGGCCCTACTTCTTCTTCTTGCTCAACCAAAAATATTGATGAAAAAGCTTCCAGTTCCCACCTTCATTCATATCCTTCTCCCTTCTATTAGTGTCACATATCTATTTTTCCTTCTTCTCTTTGTAAATTCATGCTTTTTACTATTTACTCCTTCTACCTTCGAAACTGCATTTGTCAATATACCATGGTGTCACTAGATGGAACCATCAATATTGATTGATACCATGGCTGTACACAATTAAGGCTTTTCTGTAACACTTTTTCATAATATAAAACAGGGTTACCTGCCTCATTTGTACCCATGAAATGTATAGCATTGCCTGTGATGTTAAGGAAAATGCCGTTCAGTTTCAAAACATTTTTGCAAGGAATGGACAAATGCAACCAAGGCTACACATTATTTTAGACTAAGATCTCTACATGTGGAGAGTCTTAAAAGCCAAACACCTTTCCCACATGCCGCACTCTTTTAATGCTTTGTTGAATGCTGCTAAGAAAGTAAAGAAAAGAGGAGCAAATCATATCAAACAAAGTTGGGAAAAGATAATTAGAAAAATTAGAAACATAGAAGCATTCATCTATAGCTATGTGTAGCTAATCCTTATAACCAAGTTTCCACATGCATTTTCATAATTTAGTGGGAATCTCGATTGCTAGGATTACATGTTTTAATTTTCTTTTTAATGTCAGGTTCGTGAACTGGAGTCTGAGTTTGAGAACGAGCAGAAGCGTAGTGCAGAGGCTATCAAAGGTGTACGGAAATATGAGAGAAGAGTAAAGGAACTAACTTATCAGGTGAGAATGGAAACTGTCATTTATTTCAAAAACTTTTAGAAAAAAATTAAGTAGCAGCCTAATTGAATTGTAATAATTGAATAGCAAGGACTCTAATGAAAAGATAATTAAATGTAAGCTAACATATTTGAATGAGGATAGTGTATTACTTGATAGGCGCCAACAGATGAATGGGAAATGAATATTTGGTTATAGATAAGGATAAGTATCACATGAGAAAATATATGGGATAAAAATGGATGGGGAACTTGAAATATACTCTTAAAGAGGAAAAATAACTGAGACTATAAGAAGAGGTTTAAAAATTTGGGGCATGTAAGAACAGTCACTCACGCCCTTGTGACCTCAAGACTGGACTACTGTAATGCGCTCTACATGGGGCAACCCTTGAAGAGCATCCGGAGACTTCAGCTTGTCCAGAATGCAGCCGCGCGAGCGATTGTGGGTGCACCNATTGGAAATAAATGCTTTTTTCAGTAAAAATGATGTAAACTGTAGTCACCGGAATGTGGGATGCTGCAAAAGGCCATGAATGAGGATCTGTCGCCAAGCTTCTGAAATGCAATCAGGGGACCACAGGAGGGGGGGTGGGGGGTGGAAGCTGTTGGAAGTTTGGAACTGGATTGTTAAATACCTTTGGGGGGGGGAGTCTATTGTAACTTTGAATAGTTATTAAGCAAGTGGCCATAAGTTGAGCACTACCTTTAGGCAATAAAACATAATATTGCCACATTCGAAGAAACAGAATGATTTTGATAAGGCATCTAAACACAGCCTGGGACATTGACTATGAAAATGTTACACGATGCATCTATACATCTTTATACAAGGAGCAATACATGCAGGCCATAAAATGAATGGCAATGCTTCATACATCTGGGTTTTTTAAATAATACCCCTGAAGAACAGTGATCAGATGTAATTAGAATCTGATTTAAGAATAGCTCTGCTCTGAGCTTTGTAAACGGAAAGGAGAAGTCAGCAAGTTGTTCAGCTGTTGCCCAATGGCTTGCCCATGCAGATTCACTGAGGGAAGTTCTGAGGGATTTTTATTTCCTCCATGGCCACAGCCTGCTCTGACCTTTTTTCAAAGATGATGTTTCTGCTGTTGGCTTCTCTTGCCTCAGTTATCCTGTTGATGTAGTAAAAGAGGTTGAGTTCTGATCCCCTCTGCACAGCTTCTTTCCAAATCTTTTAAATAGAAAAAATAAATAAAAACATACCTCCTTAGAATCTTTTTCCTTTTGATGACAGTCAAATACTGAATTAGTTCTAGTGGTCAAGGTGTCTTAAAACAATTACATTGTTCTGCAAATTAAAATTGTCACTGGTGAAAGACAAATAGATGAAAACTACTTATTTAGGATTTATGATACACACATAGATACAGCATATATGTGTACACACACATATATACATACATACACATACATATACATCCATATACACATAAATACACGTGTGTGTGTGTGTGTGTGTGTGTGTGTGGTGTATTGGGATAAGAGAGTTCAAAAATTTAGAGGATTTTCTTCTGCTTTATATTCAGAATGATGTAGGGGTGGGGTTTTTTTGCAACATACTGTAAAATTGTAAAAAGTCACAAGTAACTTTTTAAAAAATCTTTTCAGATCGCGAGAATCAATCCATTTTGATCACGTAAGTATGCCTTCTTAACTGGTCCACTGATTTCTTTGAAATAAAATTAGGACAATTAGCCCACTGTTCTAAAAGAAACTGCAGGACTACTGTGTATCACTGTTTGAATGCCGTAACAATAATGATTCCTCAACAACATTTGGCAGCCCCTGTTAGGATTCCTCCCTAAACTGCAGTGGAGATCATTGTAGTTAAACATGTATAGAAGAGAAGTATGTAGAACAAGGATGGGAAAATTATTTTAGCTAGAAGGCCAGTAGCAGGTAGAACAATGGAAGTTTGTGCATACTGTCATATAACTCTCTTACACACTCACACACACAGACACACACACACCAATAAGATTTGAAATCGAGATTCTTCGAATTGGCCTTCCCACTTTAAGGTACAATTAGATTCGAAAAACAACACCAAAAAAATGCAGCATGGGTCAGATGAGAGAGAGTTTCAGAGGAGAAATAACTCATATCCATGGCAGGTGGTTCTAAACTTTGAATTTTTACTGTGTTTTGCGGAGCCAGAGTTAATATAAATTTTGTTGGTAGGCAGATTAGGTGGAATGAAATCTGCAATTTCCTATAGTTCAGTCAGGCTTAGAAGGCCTTTCTGATTTTCCAGGCCTGAGGGCAGATGAGGCTATCCCCCATCCCTACTTCTTAGTGACCTGGAGTTGGAATTTCAATGAAATGATTTCTAACACATTAATTAAGTCTTCTTTGAATCAACAGCGGAGAATCTGGTGCTGGAAAAACTGTGAACACGAAACGTGTCATCCAGTACTTCGCAACAATTGCAGTTTCTTCTGACAAGAAAAAGGAAGAGCCAGTTCAAACAGGCAAAATACATGTGTGTGGGTTTTTGTTTTTTTTTTTTGTAAAAGATGAAAAGTGAATACATAGAAATTTTCCGTGATGAAACAAAATGAAATTAATCATGATCTTTTTCACTGAAGGGCACCCTTGAAGAT